ACATACAGCAACACTTCCTCTTGGAATGTGTGACCCTGGTATGATGAATATGGCATAACTATTTTTTCAAGCACTTTATAAAGGTTTAGCAAAGTAGATTTCCCCGAAGTTTATAATTCAAATGAAAAGTGATATGTAAAATTAGCCACCTGTGCATGTTACACTGCAGGCTCTACACAGATTCACTGCACAAGTCCAAATTAAGCTTTAGGCTCAAACCACGGCTCATATAAGAAAGTCAGCCGTCAGCTGCCTTCAGCCTCAGTGCCCACCCAAGTCCACTGTGGGTGCAGACGGTGGTGACAAGAGGCCCAGGTGGCAGAGGTCTCCAGTGCCTCGGCAGAAGTGCAAGTAAGGGAAGGGCAGGGTTGACCTGAGGGAAGGGGGAACTGAACCCTTCTTTGTCTCCAAAACGCTGAGGGAAGCCAGGAGACAACATAAGTGCACTGTGGGTAACCATTAATTAGACTCATCTGCATGGAAGCTTATATGCAGTGAATATTTTTCTGATTAGTACAGGGAACAGGGGGGAGGAGTTATAAAAATGTAATCAGATTGAGTAATTTATCTTGTTTAAGCTACTGGAATATTCTAAATTTTTTAAAACCAAAGTAGCAGCAGCAGCAGCAGCTGCAGTGGTTCATTACTTTATAAGTGAGTGTGAATTGAAAGAGAAGGGGAAGAAAACTGTGGAATCACTAGTGCTTCAATTCACTGTTAAAATGACCAAAATTACTCTGAGCTTTTACTGTTTCTTAGTTGAAAAAAGGGTTAAACAGGTATAAATGAACTGGAAGCAGGTGCAGTTGTGTTGCTTTTTGTCACTCCATGAATAAAATAGTCAAAAAAATCACACTGACTGAATCAAAATAACTTGTTCAAATAAACAGTTTTTGTTCTGTGTGCTTTTAAACTGTAGCTAAAAAAGTTATCATATAGCCCGTGGGCTTTTTACCCAGTATACTTAGCATTCACTGACTATCTAGTTACTGCTGAATGGATATTCACGCCTGTGGCTCTGTTATAACTCATGCTAAATTGAACTGTAATGACACTGGCATTTGTTATCATTCAGTGGGCTTCGTTAGATCCAGTTCCAAGGTTGGAAGCTGACTTTACAAAGTTCTTTGTTGTTTATATTACTCAGTCTGGGTTGGACAACTCCTCTGAAACAGTACAGAAACATTGCTGCACACTTTCTTCTCTTCCTTTTCTTCCTTCTTGTGACTCCCTGCTGTTCAACCCAGTTCTCCATCCCCTCTCTTTTCTAATCTACATTTGGTCTTTCTTCTTCCTTTCATCCTCCTCCTGAGTTTATTTTCCCCTCTAACATCATTTCCTCTTCCTCATCTCAACTAGACATGCCTTCCTCCAGCACATTATCTCCCCTTTTTTTCCTCCCCTCTCCTCTCATTGCCATGATAATTAGTTCTTCAGATAAGCACATTGGCTGTGCGTGACGGCGCTTGTGTTATTTAACACATCGTGACAGTGAGTGCATGTGTACAGACCTTTCCTTGTATGCATGTGAGGTCCGCTTTACAATGTGTGTGCGATGCACAGTTAGAGTGTGTGGGTGATCTCCGGGCTCATCAGCATGTGAAAACGAGCTCGTCTTTGGAGGGCTGGAGGGGAATCTGCAGATAACATATCCCTGCCTGGTGTAGATCAGAGCAGGGAGGACGACCAGCAGCTGGCCGCTGTAAGATCTTGAACAATGGTGTAAAAGAGCTGCATTTGATGACTCCTTGTCTTGTCCTCTCAGGACCCCACTGAGAGCCATGTGTCCCCGGGCTGCCACACAACCCAAGCTGTCCAGACATCAGGCAGCGGATAAAAGTAGCTCAGCCCACCAGTGTTGTTGTGCCGTTTCTCTGTGTTGACTCATCCATGATATTCACTCTAGCATACCATTCTCCTTCTTTCCAGTTTGGGCACAATACAGGCAGGAATCTACTGCACATCTACAGCTGTGTATGTGCAGTGCGTCTCCAGTACAACCTATTAGTGCAGTCTGAGGACACATGACTGTGCGAAGTGTGTAGGTGTTTGTGGGCACTGGGGAATGTGCTGACAGCCCGTCAGATTTTGCTTTACTTTTAGGACTTCCGCAATGGAACTGATGACACTTCTTTCACATTTTGCTTAGGGCATTAAAAACATGCTTTTTAGGATTACAATCTGATAGAACAAGTGCTAATGGACTCTCACTGGTTCTTCCTGGGACTCTTTCCTATCTCAAGGTTAAAACTGAAACTGACAACACAACATTAGACGAGTTAGAAAAGCCAATAACCTGGGTATCAACTCAATGGATGCTTTTATTAATTTTATCAATATCTGAAAAGCATCCGATTGGCAACATCTCCATTTTTCAGCAACCCCAATGGTCTTCATGTACTAATATGTACATTCTTACACAGTGTAAAAATAAGCACGTATGCTATACTACTGTCCAATTAATGAAATGTGACTGGCCTATTTTGTTCCTACATTTGTTAATAAACGAGAACAGTTCTGAACCAACAGTCTCGTATAATCACCATACTCTTCCGCCCACATTTCTCTTTATAAGGAAATGCCTCCAGGTGAACAGAGAAAGTGGTGACGCTACTGTACTCCTAAGACAAGAAAGCAGCAGGAAGTCCAGCTGAAGAAATTAAAACAGTTATATCCAAAGGCTCCTTTCTCATTCACTATGTGTTAATAGACCTCT